CTCTCTCTCTCTCTCTCTCTCTCTCTCTCTCTCTCTCTCTCTCTCTCTCTCTCTCTCTCTCTCTCTCTCTCTCTCTCTCTCTCTCTGTGTGCCAGCACAACGGCAACAGCAAGAAGTGTTGCCGTTTCAGACTAATGTCTGCATTAATCTGAAACGGCAACAGCCTTGCCGTTGCCCGTCACCCGAAATGGCCCACAGGTCTTTTTTTTTTTTTTTTTTTCGTTCTCCTTTTTTTTTTTGGCGACCAGCAACATCAGAAAAAAACAAAAAAAAATACGGGCGTGCAGGGTGTTTTCAGCCCCGCACGCCCTTTTTTTTTTTTTTTTTTGCCCTAAAAAATACGAAAAAAAAAATCCTGCACCATACTCGACCGTTCGGCCTTGGCCGAACCTGGCCGATTCGGCCGCCGGGCACGGCTGCGGCCGAGTTTTTGCCCCCGGCCGTGACCGGCCGTGCAATGTGGGAGTATAGCCAAGTGGAAAGGCATCAATTTTTTATATTGACATGCAAAGGTCTGAATCCTTCCACTCCAAAGATTGCTTTCAATTCAGATTTTGATTTAAAGCTAACGTATTAAACTTCGAAAACCTTCAAATGAAGCCAAAACAAAACCTATCCAAATACAAAAAATGAAAAACTTCATTATGGTAGTATACCAACTACTTTCATAACTTCTATTTCCTATCAGAGTATGCGGATTTGTTAAAAAGTTAGTAATCTACATATATGCTAGAAAGATTTTCATGACGGTCACCCGGGCGTGACGCCCGGGGGGGGTCTGACCCCCCGAGTGACCCGGTCATGGCAAAAAAACAAAAAAATGGCGGTGGGGTTTTTCCACGCTCTCCGAGAGGAGCCCAAAACCGAGCTCTTTTCTTTTTTTGAGTGTTGGCTGTCAAGGGGGGGAAAGGGGAGTGTAAATGAATTTTAAAGGGGCTAAAGGGGTTTAAACGGGGGTGCCTTAGTGTGATTTGTTTTTTTTTTTTTATCTTTAGTTCCGTGAGGAATTCTGATGTGACCCTCAGCCAAAAGTTGTTTGTATTGCAATTCTACGCAGCATAATTTTTTTCAGATGTTTTTGGATTTGATTTTTTTTTTTTTTTTTTTTTTTTGCGCTGGGGCTGCCCGGGGCCATGCCCGGGGTTCATGCCCGGCCGGTCACCCGATCGCCAAACCGGGCGTGACATCAGGACCCGGGCGCTCGGGATATCTCCCTAGCATATATGTATGTATTTGAGTAAATATTCAGTTGACTCAACCTCTACCTGTATGGCATGTGAATGGGAAGGAGACACTTACTCTATGCTTGCAACTACTACTTGCACTCGCGGCCCTAGTAGAAGCAGAATATAATTATCGGGCCATTCCCTTTTGATGGCCGTTGTGGTTGCTGCTCCAGCTGCCACATGGTGCAATAGGGATTGATGTGGCACTCTTTGCCACACTTGAAACATTGTTGGCTGTCCTACGCTACTGCCATTGGGACTTCAACAGGTTCATCTGTCTCCACGGTTCTCCCTGATCTAGCCCATATGCGACAGGTATATGTGCGGACGACAACGTGAGAAATTGCCTCCGCCTCTCTGTTTATACTTCCATCCACCACTCCTGCTTCGTGGTGGGAATTTGCCTCCACCACCTCCTCGTTGTGACCCTCCCTGCGCTAGTGGCGTAATACCCTCCTTGGTAGGGTACCCGCTTAGTGCAATCCATCTCTATTTGTTTGATAGGCATGGATTCACTCTCCCCACCTTCATACGATGAAAAGACATGACCCCTGGTTGGTACATTTTTAACAATCTTCTTCTCCTTATCTAGTATATACGCTTCCCTTCTCCAACTTTGTACAAATGGGAAGGTTTACCTGGCAACTAAGGGTTGTGAAGTTCTTGGTCTTCTTTGCATGTATCTCGTAAGTCATCTTTAGGGCACCTAGTTCATTAGCTAGGGATTCTATGAGGGATTCGAGCATGGCTTGTTCTAACTGTCGCAATGCCTACTTGCCAGTTATTGTGTCCCCGGACCTGTATCAGAGTATCCATCTTGCGAATTAGGACGTCAACGCTGTGCCAAGAGGTTCTGTAAATGCTCAGAATCATCTTTCCCGCGATGGACTTCACTCATTACCCAGACTTTTGCATCTCCCTTCAAACATGTGCAGGTTATCACTATCTGTGAATCTAAGGGCGTGCAAGAGGTTCTGTAAATGCTCAGAATCGTCTTTCCCCCGATGGACTTCACTCATTACCCAGACTTTTGCATCTCCCTTCAAACATGTGCAGGCTATCACTATCTGCGAATCTAAGGGCGCACACCCTACATTCATGTACCCAGGAATCTCAGCTACCCATGTGCGGATAGCTTCTACCTTCCTACCGCGGTAGGGGTCAGGCAACTCCATCTTGACCCAATTCCTATAAGGTATGTCCTCGTGCGTATTGTCCCCTATCTTTGTTGCCATCACCATTGCGATCTCCGTCTCAACCATTGTGCTTCCTTTATTCTTCTGCATCTCATACTTCACTATTTGCAGAGTGTCATTGCTCGTCCCTAAAGAGTCGTTTTTGTTCCCCCGCCATTCCTTTCCTATAGCTTTCAGCTTATCACTCATCTCTTTTTGATAGGCTTCTTGCGCTTGCTTACCATTGGCAATTGCGGTTAATTTCTCTTCCATGCTGTTAGTGGAATGTGCTGCCATAACGGCAACCATTACGGGTGTGGGGTCTCCTTAGCACCTAACAGCGTCTTTATGCTGGAAAATGTGAATTTAATAACCTTTAGCAACTTTGTCTTCTCGTCTAATCCCTTCTCTATCGTAAACTCCTGTATTTTTCTTGCAACTTTTGTTTCTCATTTGCTGTCGCTTGTTTCTCTCGAGCTGCCCAGGACATGCATTCATCTATTGGCATGAGGGGTCAGGTTTGTGGTTTTGGTGCATCGTTGGGGGCGGCACCTGCAAATATACCTGCAACCTTTTTCACCATTCCATCCTCCTTTAGGGGCGGTTTCCCAAACTGCTCCACGCTAAGCCCACTTTGTTGTCCCTTCTCTTCTTTCCTCTCTCGTTTGCTCTCCTTCTTCTCTTCATCTTCTTTCTTATTGTCTTCTTCTCCTCTCTGTTCTTCTCCTTCTCCTCCTTCCTTTTCCTCTTTTCCTCCTCCACTTCTTTATGAATTCTTCATATTTTGGATCAACTATTTCAAGGACCACAAATCCAGTTCACAGTTTCTTCATGTGGGACCAGCTTGCTCGATCTAATCCCGATGGGAAAACGGGGCCCAGCAAGGGCTGAAGAAGAACAGAGAAGGCTATACAAGCGAACAGTGGGTAGTCATCCATGGTTCAGGTCGCACAATAGTTAGTCAAAAGTTCGACCCCGCTCTACTACCGTCTACCACTTAGACTTGACCTAGACTGACCTAAAACCATTGACTTTGACTCTATTATAGGACTGGTCATCTTCACTTGCGGTTGTCAACTTTCATCTCCAACAGAGTTAACCATGTGCTGGTTTGCCAGCTCACCGGTTAATAGAAGGTCTGTTTAACGAGCGCCCCCCGCTCTGGCCATCGCATCTACTTAGCTTCCGATTGTAGAGGGTTGTCAACACTATCTCTAACATGCTATGTTTACCACTCGAGGATGGGCAACAGCCACTTTAAGGACAGGCTCCAAGTCCTCAGGAATTATTTTATGTCGCTAATAGAACAATGTGCCTAGGCCATAGTCCCAAGATCAGCTCCCAATTGAGTTCGAGCCCTATTTGACCTCTACAAGCCTCAACATTTGGGCTTGTCAACTTGCTTCTTACTTCAGTCTGTGTCTCAAAGAGTTGAGAGAATGCTGGTTAGAACTGGCCCTCGAGCTTGGCAGGTTGTTTAGTGAGCACCCGCCGATCATACCTTTGAGGCTCTTGTAACTTCAGGAGGCTCCACAGAGTCAGCCTACCTACCTACAAGCATCCACAACCTGTCTGACCGGCCCGCAGCTCAAGTCAGTAGAAAATTAGAAATAGACCAGCGGAATCCATCATCAAAACACAACACACATGCACGCACAAGGTTAGGGTTACAAAGTACAGAGTTCGAGGAAGCTAGCAGCAAAAAGAAAAGAAAGGGAGGAAATGTTAAGAAATGCAATAGAAATAGCGGACTTTTGTTATGATTCTGGTTGTCTGTTGTCTGAAGACCAACACTCGCTCACATAGACTCCCAGGTATGCCCATACATACACAGAACGAAGGGGAGAGGATAGGAGTATCACACCGCACAAGGAGAGATAAACACAGCGGAAGACTTGACCATGCAATATGACAGGGTACACTGAAAGTGCAATTCACTCCACTCAATCCTCACAACCAGTAATAAAGAAAAGTCGAGTAGCTCACATCCAAGAAACAATGAAACAATGATGGTCCAAACCCAGTATCACACTGTTTATTAAACTCGGAGTCTCGAATTGTCAGAATAAATTCAGAACCATGATGCGCTGCTCAAAAATGAGCAGCGCTTCACTCCCCAACCCTGATGAACCGCTATCACTACTCCTGAGTCCCTGAAACATCAAGCGCCACCCCGATACAGCCTCCAAAGGGAAGCGCCACCATGAAACAGGCCTCTGAGGCCAAGCGCCACTCAAAGGATGAAGAAGAAGACCAGCGCCATAGTATCTGATGATGACGAAGTGTCGGAAGACTTCCCGGGTGGAAGTCTGCAGCAGCGCCACCAAATCCTGACAAGATGACCTCTGAGGAGGAAGCTGCAGCTATGGCTGCAGCGCCACAACCCTATGACCCCACTCCGGAGGAGGGTCCAGTAGGGCACCAACTTTTGTCGCCTCCGGCAGACCTCGATAACCCCGACCTCTGACAGCCCCGCGTGCTGGCAGAGTACAGCGCAGGTCCCAACTATGGCCGGCGCTCCGAAGGTCGGGCTATGTTTGTCTCCCACAACGCTGAGTCGTCACCACTTCCGGTTCACGCGTAGCGCAGCAGCGATGTACTCGGCCAAAAGCCCTGAACCGGTGTGCCCATCCTATCTATAGACTAAACTAGCCTAGACTCGACCTAGACCGGACTGACTGACCGACCGGTACCAATTCTGTTTCGGCCTCTCGGCCTCCACCTTTCCCGGCTATAGGCTATAGGACCGTCTATCAACATAGGCCCTTAGGGCCTGTCTGTCCTAGGGGTAGCCCGGGCCCGCTATTCGCAGTTAGGGTAGCAGTAGGAAATCCAGTTAGTGCTGGGCCTATATTTTCCCAAATTTGCAGGTATGTCCCTCACGAATTTCCCCTACAGGTAGGTCTCTCGGTTAGCCCTCAGCCAAACAAAATTACGAATTTGTCCTACCTATGGTACAACCTCGACAGAGAGAGGCTACAGGCGACCAGAAATAGCAAGTCCTTCCAGACCTACCCTCCCCCGGAATGAGGACCTCCGAGCTAGGGGCCTAGGCGTGCAGAGCGTCGAAGGGATTCTCCCTTCTGTGCTGCCTCATATCCGAGGATAACAGACTTGGCAGTTTTCAAAAGCTCCTTGAGTGTAAACCAGCGATCTTCAGTATGCGGCCAGTATAAGAACTTCACAGGGTACTCCTTATCTGGACCTGCACCTGAATCATCCTCCACAGGTTCCACCTCATATCCTTTGTCAGGGATAGGGGGACTGAACTGAGGAGGCTTGTCTAGGAATGCATCAGCTGAGGTGAACGGCAACAACTTGGATGCATGAAAGACAGGGTAGGTTTGTAGATGCAGAGGGACATCCACTATATAGGATGGTCCAAATGGAGCAGCTCCCACTGTATCTAAGACCTGCCATGGACCCATGTATCGTGGCAGCAGCTTAGGCGAAATATCCTCCTCTCGTGACAGCTCAGAACTGAGTACCCACACCCAGTCACCTGTGCGAATAGTAGAGGGGCGTCGGTGCATATTAGCCTGGTGAATCATAGCCTTTTGGGCTTTCAGCAGGTTGGCACGGGCGCGCTCAATGTCCACACGGTAACGCCTGGTGAACTCTGCAGTTCCAGGTGTCAACATAGGGGTAAGCCTTATCGATGATGTCATCAAGAGGCTGTCGTGGCTCACGACCCCAGTGTAACCGGTAGGGTGTAAAGCTAGTAGAAGAGTGTACATAAGTATTGTATACAAGTTGTGCACGACCCAAATGGAGATCCCAGTCCTGCTGATCTGGACTGATCACAGGATGCAGCAACTGAAATAAATTCTGGTTCATCACTTCAGCCTGCCCATTGGCTTCAGGATGACGACCAGATGTCATGTCCAGTCTGGAATGAAGCTAATCCGTGCAGTAGTATTGTTATTCATTGCTGCAAAAACGAGGATCTCGGTCACTGACTATAGAGGTGGGTGGTCCATGATGTGTGACCCACCTGTCAGCAAATGCCGCTTGGACGGCTGGAACGCGAGCCTCAACTGGTAAGGGGATGAACTCTGCATATTTGGAGAACCGATCCACTCACACCATAACCTTAGCAGACCATGGGGTGTGGTCCTGCCCAAGTCAGTAAAGTCAATAGACACTGACTGTGCAGGTGCCTCAGGGATGGGTAGTGGTTCGAGTAGGCCAAGGGGAGGTCGTCGTACTACCTTGTTCCTTTGGCATAACTCACAGGTTTCCACATAGTGCAGCATGTCACTCCTCATCTCCTTCCAAAAGAAGCGCTGCGACAGGGCTGCATATGATTTGTGGGCTCCAAAGTGACCACGAGCATCATGACACTCTGACATCAGGAGTGTTCTCAGCTTGCGGTCCTGGGGAATGCACAGACGTTCCTCACCTCTGTTGTACAGCAGGTCCGAAACCAGAGTATATCTTGGTTCAGATGCAGGATCATCCTAGAGATTCCTCACTACAGGCCCAAAAATTGCATCCAGGAGCAGGAACTGGGCAATGGTCTGACGAGTCTTATCTCCAAATAAGCGAGTAAAGGAGATCAAGAAGAGAGCGCCAGGCCTACGAGAAAGGGCATCTGCTACTCGATTGTAGAAGCCCTTCTTGTGTTTCAGTTCAAAATCAAACATGTCAATGAACTGAATATAGCGAGCAAGTTTGTCATTTAGTTCTCCTTGGGACTTCATCCACTGTAGGGTGGAGTGATCTGAGAAGATCTTAAGATGCCTGCCCAAGAGGAAGTGCTTCCAATGCTTGAGCGCTGACACAAGAGCATAAAGCTCTTTCTCATAGGTAGAGTCCAGCAGCTTCTTTGTTTTGATATTCTTGCTCATGTATTCAATAAGCTGCATAACATTCCCATCATCCTGTTGAAGTACCGCCCCTACACCATACTCACTGGCGTCAGTGGTCAGCACAAAAGGCAAGGTAGGGTCCGATAACTCCAAAACAAGGGCACGACTCAAGGCCTCCTTGAGATGTGTGAAAGCCTCCTGACACTCTGATGTCCAAAGAAAGGAAGTGTCTTTCTTTGTGAGATCATTCAAAGGGGTTGCAATAGAAGAGAAGTCCTGAATGAACTTCCTATCATATGAAGCAAACCCCAAGAATGACCGGATATCACGAATATTAGCAGGCCGCGGCCAGTCCTGAACTGCAACAACTTTCGTTGCTTCAAGAGCCAACCCCGCTCCAGAAATGACGTGCCCCAGATAGATCACAGAGGGAACCCCAAAAGAGGATTTCTCCCTATTGATCTTATACTGGTTATCACGTAGGGCCTAGAGGACCAGAACCAGATGTTGCGCATGCTCCTGGGCAGATCGACTGAATACCAGGATATCATTCAGGTAGACATTTACAAATTTTTCCAGGTAAGGCCTGAGTATGCGATGCATCTCTGTTTGGAAGGTGCCTGGGGCATTGCAAAGACCGAAAGGCATAACCAGGTACTCGTAAGTGCCATACCTGGTCTTGAAGGTTGTTTTGTGGACATCGCCTTCAGCCATCTCAATCTGGTGGTAGCCAGATTTGAGATCGATCTTGCTAAAAATGGTACAGCCATGCACCATATCCAACAGATCATCAATGCGAGGAAGTGGCTTTGTAGACTTCCTCGTGATTTTGTTGAGACCTCTATAGTCCACTCACATCCTGAACTCACCATTCCCCTTTGGAACAAAGAGGAATGGTGCCCCAAACTCATATGTGTTGGGCCTGATCCAGCCCTTGCTGGTCAGGGTCTCTAACTGTTTCCTGAGGTCATCAAGTTCAGCAGGTGACATCCTGTAGACTCGACCCTTGGGAGGGACCGAACCAGGCAGGATTTTAATCTTATGTTTGGTTTGCCTATGGACAAGTCCAGTAGGCTCCTCCATAAGATCTGAGAAGCGGTCAACAACCTGCTGAATTTGAGAGGGACAGGGAGCAGTTTCCACATCAGTCTGTTTGACGTAAGCCACGAACAGATGGGTGTGGTCAGTCTGGCGCGAGAAACGCAGAAATCTGCGAGCACTCCTGCAGTAACAGTTGTTGGCCGGATGATACTCATCAGTGAGCATACAAGGGCGATAGACCCCATACCGATCAGGTAGATCAACCCTAGGGATCCGCCAGTCAATCCTAGGATTGGTGGCACCAAGCCACTGCACAGAGAAGACAAGGTCAAAGGGAACGTTAGGATATACGTAGAAATTCAGGCGATGCCTGATTTCTCCCTGCTTATCAAAGGTCACAGGTAGACCCTTGACAGCAGTCGTGATCCGAACAGTGGAAGAGTCCCCAATGTGAACCTTTATAGGCTGTCGCAATTTCACTAATCTCTGATCCAAGTGCAGCTTGCTGACTGCCTTGGGAGATATGCAGTTGTGAGTAGCCCCACAGCCTAAGAGTCCTTTGATCTTGGCTCCCAGGATAGAGGGTCGAAGCAGGATGAGTTTTGACTTATGCTTCTTCTTCTCCTGCATTCACCAAGGCACTGAGCATCCTCCTCCTCCCACGTCTCATCCAGCTCAGAGTCCTCAAAAGTGAAGGACCCTGAAGACGCAACTCCAGAGAAGAACCAACGAGAGAATGTGAAGATTCACCTTCATCAGAGAGTGAATCAACACTAGTGGAAGGAGTTGCTACTTCCACCTCTCTCTGCTCTAGTTTCTTGAACTAGAGCTGCCTGTAGACCTGCGAGGCATGCTGGGACAGTCCTTTAAGAAGTGGTCCCCCTCGCACCTCAGGCAGACACCCTTGTCCTTTCTCTTCCTCCAGACCCCCTCCTGGATCCTGAGTGCATGTCAGGGGAAGGTGGAAGGATCAAGGGGGTCAGTTAGCCAACGAACGTCTCGTGGTAATGGTACTCTCTGGGCACCAGGGGAAGAGGCACGTCCCTTACCTTTCCCCTTGTTGCTGGTTGAGGCTTTTTGGGTTGGGGCTTTACCCCTTGCCATGCCCATCAAAGCATCAGCAAGGGCAAGAACAGCAGGATCTGCAGCAAATGAGGGAGCAGTCCCAGATGGAGGGGTCCCACCCTGGGGTGCTGCATCACTATCTGAACTGGATGCTGCAGCAGCGAACAGGGCACCCTTCCTCCTCCTCCTCTCCCTTTGAGGAGGGTCCCTTCCTTCCTTCAGCAGGTACTTCCTGGACATGGAGCTTGGACTCCAAGTCTAGGGCTGCTCTGCCAAAGGACCGCCAGTCCTTGTGGCCCTGAGAGAACAACGCCAACTAGTATTGCTCAGGCGCTGCACGTAAGAAATGAATGAGCAAGTCCTGCTCACTCATCTCTAACTTGGAGTCGATGTCAGACTCTCAAAGGTAGAATAGAGTTTGGACAAGGAGCCATTAAATTTCTTTTAGCCCAGGCGCATAATTTTGTCTGCTGCCTTCCGGGCTTGCTCCTTGTCTGCAAACCTATCTTGCAGGACAGCAGAAAACCAGTCACCCCCAACCTCTGTGCCCAATCATACCTTGCTTGCTGGAAGTAGAGGTGCACCATTTTAGTGTCGTCCTCTCTAGACGAGCAAGGATGGCAGACACCTTCACATCCTCACGATATTTGAACTTACTCAGGTAGGTTCTCTGTGCAGTCACCCAATCTGCGACATCCACCTTTGGGTCCTCGCCAGAGAACATAGGTGGAGGGGTCAGCTTAGGCCGCTGCATGCCAAATGGGTTAGAGGGCTGGGAAGATGCAGGTGTGTTGGGTGTAGAGGGAGGAGATGTAGGTCTGGATTGTGGGGGCTGATGAGAACCTGCTTGAGAAGGCCCAGGAGAAGGAGGAACGGTCAGAGTGGTTGGGATCTTTAAGTGAGTGAAGATCAGATCCAGTTTGGCAGAGATGCCATCCAACTTTTTGGAAAAAGTTGAGTGAATATTGTCCAAACTGGTGATCCTCTCATCCCAGTTAGTAAAATAAGAACGGTGAATGTCATCCTGCAAAAGGATGAATTCAGCCATGTCCTTATTGTCCTGGTTGGAAGTACCACTAGTCCTGATCTTCTCTACATCTGCAATCAGCAGCTTTCTCTTGGCCTCCTTCTGAGTTGCTTCCTCTTTCCTTTTCAGCTCAACCTTTAGAGCCTCAACTGCCTGGGTCTGTAAGCGGAGTTTCTCCTCCTGAGCCCGCAGTTCAGCCTCTAAAGAGTCAGGTGGTATTTGAGGCTTCACATCTGCCATTTTAATTTATCCCACAATTCAGATAAAATAAAACAAACAAATAAACAAAGACAGACAGGAGGTAACAGGAATTGGATTTTCTCTACAGTACTCGTCCAATTATTGCCACCTGACTGAAGAGAGAAAGTTGGTTAGTCTGAGCAAGTGAGTGCTAAGTCTCTGCAGACCACTTGAGGGTCAGGGTCAGTTTAGAGTACATTCAACAAAAATCCATTTCACGATTTTCCCATCACTGCCCTGAACCAACAATTGCACGCAATAATTGCAAATCCTGCATCAATAACTTGCAGAGTGTAGTCTTGGACTGATTAGTGTTGATTAGTAGTTAGACAAAGTGACTAATTAGGGATGGATAGGTGTCCACTGATAACCAAGTTGCAGCAATTTACAAGTAACCCTATTTTTAGACCTACCCTACAAACTTCACCATTGTATGACCCTGTATGCCATACCCTGGGTATGGCGAATTACAGTTTTCACTGTAATTGACTCAGGACATCAAATCTGCTAGTGCGATTTCAAAGAGACATTGTATACTGAATTGCGATTTACCAAGGACTAACAGAATTGAATTCTGACGGAGAGAATCAGAGTTATGACTGACCCTAGTCTAGCCAGGCTTCAGCTATGGCAGCGTGGAATTCAAATTTCCATTATCACTGACAACAGGGCCGTGAACAGACCAATTCACTATACAGGGTGAATCGCAATACTGTGAAGCAGTCACAGATGAAATTTGAGGCAGAAAGGAGGTCAAACAGGGTTAGTAGAAGTCCAAGATGATAGGTAGGGGAAGTTGGATATGGTTGTCCCACAGTCTGAATTTCAATTTTCAACTGTGTACTGACTGACAGACCATAATTCGCCAATCTAAAAATAGCCCCAGAATCGCCACACAGGATAGAGTAAGGAACACACTTACTTCAGGGTCAACTCTGAAGAAGATGCATGAAACTCTAGCTATGGCTGACTGATCAACCCCATCTTGCCTGTTTCATCTCCTGATAGTACCCAGTGTTCCCACGTACCAAACTGCCTGAAGCTTGGTGATCCAACAGATTACCCTGAGGCGCTTCACCCCCAACTGACAGATTCAACGAATTTGAACTCCCAGGTGTAGATAACTGACAACTTCAGTGCAGCGCTACATCACCCTGTACTGCGCTGCTTGGAAATTGGGGATCCTGACCCAATTCCACAATCTCAACCTCCTGGGATCACTCCTTTGCCAATCGCCAGCCTCCAAATGAATCGCCAGGCTAAAAATAGCCTTTCGGAGCCTCTCAGACCTCTGAGCACCAATTGCCAACCACTCCTGCACAACCCAAGTCAGGAGTGAATCACCCTTTATCCAATTCTTCTCGCCACACACTCACCACCACCACCCTTACTGACAACAACCCTGAAGATGATGAATCGCCATGAAACTCCAGTAGCTTGCCAGATGATGATGGTTGCTCCAACTCATCAATCGTTCCAGAGCCTGGATCCAATCGCTCCGATACCAACTGTTATGATTTTGGTTGTCTGTTGTCTAAAGACCAACACTCACTCACATAGACTCCCAAGTATGCCCATACATACACAGAAGGAAGGGGAGAGGATAGGAGTATCACACCGCACAGGGAGAGATAAACACAACGGAAGACTTGACCATGCAATATGACAGGGTACACTGAAAGTGCAATTCACTCATACTCAATCCTCACAACCAGTCATAAAGAAAAGTCGAGTAGCTCACATCCAGGAAACAATCAAACGATGATGGTCCAAACCCAGTACACACTATTTAAGAGTCTCGAATTGTCAGAATAACTTCAGAACCATGATGCGCGCTTCACTCCCCAACCCTGATGAACCGCTATCACTACCCCTGAGTCCGTGAAACATCAAGTGCCACCCCGATACAGCCTCCAAAGGGAAGCGCCACCATGAAACAGGCCTCCGAGGCCAAGCGCCACTCAGAGGATGAAGAAGAAGATCATCGCCACAGTATCTGATGATGACGAAGTGTCGGAAGACTTCCCGGGTGGAAGTCTGCAGCAGCGCCACCAAATCCTGACAAAAAGACCTCTGAGGAGGAAGCTGCAGCTATGGCTGCAGCGCCACAACCCTGCGACCCCACTCCGAAGGAGGGCCCAGCAGGGCACCAACTTCTCTCGTCTCCAACAGACCTCGATAACCCAGACCTCTGACAGCCCCGCGTGCTGGCAGAGTACAGTGCAGGTCCCAACTATGGCCGACGCTCCGAAGGTCTGGCTATGTCTGTCTCCCACAACGCTGAGCCGTCACCACTTCCGGTTCACGCATAGCGCAGCAGCGATGTACTCGGTACCAACTGCCAAAAGCCCTAAACCGATGTGCCCATCCTATCTATAGACTAAACTAGCCTAGACTCGACCTAGACCGGACTGACTGACCGACCGGTACCGATTCTGTTTCGGCCTCTCGGCCTCTACCTTACCCGGCTATAGGCTATAGGACTGTCTATCAGCATAGGCCCTTAGGGCCTGTCTGTCCTAGGGGTAGCTCGGGCCCACTATTCGCAGTTAGGGTAGCAGTAGGAAATCCAGTTAGTGTTGGGCCTATATTTTCCCAAATTTGCAGATATGTCCCTCACGAATTTCCTGTACAAATAGGTCTCTCGGTGAGCCTTCAGCCAAACAAAATTATGAATCTATCCTACCTATGGTACAGCCTCGACAGAGAGAGGCTACGGGCGACCAGAAACAACAAGTCATTGCAATTTAACCTACAACAAAACACTAACTCAAAATTATTTGCTAAGCTATACTCCAAATCCAAAGAAGAGGTAGCTGAGTGGACTAAACTCAAACTTAAAGGCCTACAACTAAGAGCTAGAGTGAGGGATTGGAAACTGAATGAGAAGATGTCCAAATATTTCTTCCATAAAATCGAAGACAACTCAAGGAACTCCAAAATAGAAAGCTTGCTAGATGAATACGGTAGACCCGCCACGGAAACGACACAAGTAATTACAAGGACGTATACAGTAGTAAAACCCCAATTGGAAGGACCAACGAAACATTAAGAGTTAGGGACAAATTCTTAGCTCCCCTTGATCGTTCCTTGTCTAGTGAAACTGCAGACAATTTGGACTCACCCATTTCTCTGTGAAGGGACCTAAAGATCAATAAAGTGTCAGGCAAAGGCAAGCTTTCAAAGGAATTTTGGGAAGCAAGCTGGCCCACCCTAGGTCCTCTCCTCCTCAGATTCCTAAATAGGGCCTGGGCGCCGGAGTCCCTAGGTCCCTCCCCAAAATCTGACATGGGCCGAAGCGGGAATGAGGGATCAATGTTCGCCCAGTCCTGAAAGCATAGGTAGTAGTCTCTTTCCCCGTCCCCAACTTCATCCCATCCACTCTCCCTTCCTTTCCACACAACCTTTGCAATCCAACCTCCTTGTTCCGCGCCCAGCCAGTCTTTGCAGAAATTTCCAATGATCTGTCTGATTTCTTGTCTAGAGTGGAGGAAAGTTATCCTCTGTTTTATTTTTTCCCATTGAATGATAATATCTTTCTGAATCTGTTCCTTTATTGAGTTAATCAAATCAGTGCCATCCCGACGCACCCCTTCCATTTCCAGGGTGCAACGACGCCACCAGATACCCCAGATGATGGTCCGACGCCCCACCTTGAACATGTTAGCTCAAAAGTTGTTGCTTGTGCCGGGGTCCATGCTTCACAAAGGAGAGCCCTCCAGTCCCATGGCCAGGGTTGTGCGGCTCCTATCTATCTCCAAATGCGGTCCCACCACCTCCACAGCCATTTCGCTGCCAGGCATTGCAGAAACATGTGTTCTATGGTCTCGGGTCATTTCCTGGACGGGAAGGATTCTGTGCACAACCTACACCAGAGAAGTGCTAGCCCTTTCTGTTCCAGGTGTGTTCTATCTATTAGCCAGTCGTTCGTCGGAAGGCATCTGTGTTCCACCTGCCATTGTAATGAGGCAAGCAGGAGCTGGATCAGTTAAATCATCTGCAGGTACATAAACTGCTTAAATAGAGGTAATAGAGCCTTCTTTTGTTGAAGTAATTCTTTCTTGAAGAGTGCCCATTTCTGTACTTAAAGTAGGTTGATAACCTACTGYTGAAGGCATCCTACCTAATAAAGCAGAAACTTCTGATCCAGCCTGTACAAATCTGAAAATATTATCAATAAATAAAAGTACGCCTTGTTTATTCACATCTCGAAAATATTATGCCATAGTCAAAGCAGTAAGTCCAACTCTCATGCGAGCGCAATTTTCCAAACGTTGAGAAGAAAGAGGGTGTGCAGACGCCCTTCCCCGGATCTTCCTCTGCCATAAAGGGTCCATACCCACTCGTTTGGATCCAAGGGGAGTTCGTGTATTGGTCTGTTCGGTTTGTATACCTTCCATTGGTCTTTCTCTTTGAGTACATGGACACGAAATATTTCCGACCTCGGGAACCAACCCGTTTCTTTTGGCTGTATCCGTTCCAAAACGTTATCATTCATTATCTTAACCTGGTTGGCCACCACTTCCTGTTCGTCACCTGCCCTTTTGGGTGGAATATATACAGTGTTCCCAATCACCCCTTTTGTCCCCCTAAATCCCACCCAATCCCCTTCCTCTACCATTGGGCCCCTACGCAGAATTCTGACCCAGTCTAGAGGGATGGCGAAAATAACCGTTTCCAGTGCCTCTCCCACCTTATGGCAGTATCTCAGCTTCCCCCTCATTTGGGTCTCCGACAGCCAGTCCATAGAGTCCTGGTCCCATATATCCTTAACTCTCAGAATCCCATTCTTGACCCAACCTCGCCAGGGATTTTGCTGCTCTGGAGGATCCTGTTGTTCCTATCTGTTATCCATCTGTTTCCAAACAGGGGTTGTCGGGCTACTTTTTCCCAGCGTTTAGGTGGGATTTTATCCGGTAGTGGCAGTTTCCGCCAGGTGTTCATTATGGTGGCCCAAAGAGGGTCTTGTCTGTCTGTTCGATTCTTCGTCCTT